ATGATCTATGTGAACTTGTCTATTTGAACAAGATCTGAAACCGAGTAAATTCAGATTTCCGATCACATTTAGACATTCTAATTGGTTAGTAACTACACTAAATTAATCACTGTCAGCTGGCATTAACTCTTTTTTTTTAAGGGGTCCAATTAAATTATTCAGCGCTGTTATAATCTGATTAGACGACACATGCTTTAGAACCCTAATTTAACACTAATCTTTGGGTAATTTTTAAATATAAGATTAACACAAACGTTCTTTGCTTTCAGTACTTTTTTCTTGTCCATACCAATATAATATCTGAAAAGAAGATCTCATAATATTACTTGGAGTTTACTGTTTTACAGGATATTATTTATTTATTGATGAATAATGTCTCTACAAGACATAATTTATTGGGTACCTTGTGAACTCTGCAAATTTTTATCTGGGGTAAGTAATGGGCTCATCTTATATTTAAATTAAACCTCGAAAGATGCTTTTAAGGGGAGAAAGAGAGAAAAGAAAGGATATTTTTAATTTTTTTTTTAAATTTAGTAGAAGATATATAAAGTAATACTTTTTTAGGCAAAGACTTACTTTACATGAAAACTTGGTCATACACTATTAAGATATAATGATTAGATTGTAATATGACATTTATTTTATATAATTATTATTTTTAAAATGTAATAATAACTTAAGAATGTATTTATTTATATAAATTATAAATTAATTATAGTCGCAAAGTTAAATAAATGTCATGTTACATTTTAATTATACACGATATCATTCAAGATCAATCATTCATGACGGACCGAGTACAAACTCGGTCTTAGTTGTTTATAGGCTTTTGTCTACTATTTTTCAGAAGAAGAAAAACTATCATATACTTATTAGTTATTACGTGTAAAACAAAGACATATTAAAGTCATTCTTACATAAAATAAACAGTCTTACGCTTCAATTTATACGTGTTCGATTGTGTAGAACTACTCCTTAAAGAAAGGAGTGAAGCACTTTATAAAGGCTCAATAAAGAGAAGAAAAATTAAAAGAAAACGACGGATCTTCTTAATAGTAGCAATAATAATACAAATTTCGCCGCTACGATTACACGATTAAATTAAGCCTAGAAAGGGATAGTTTTGTCTTTCAGGAAAAAGATGCACATCTCATTGAAACACATAGGCCCAAAGACGAAATAATTGAAAATGCTACTTTGCGTAGTAATGGCCCGCGTGTCTAAATTGGTCCCCCACCATCTAACAAAAATAAATCCACTAAATTCTCTGACGGTACGTTAATTTAAATTTTTAATTTGAGTTAAAATGTGATTTTATATGAGAATTTTTTATTATAATAAAAAGTTAAATGTGATTATTTCTGAAAATTTTTTATTATAACAAAATTTAAATCGGTAAAATGAACCGGACATTAATAACTCAAACTGTTAAAATTCAAATCTTAGTTTAGAATTTAAATTGATGTTTAGGAAAGAAAAATTGATAGATAATTCAAACCATTAACAATAGTTCAAACTTTTGATTTTTAGAATTCACCACCTCCTTAAATTCTAACAATCCGAATTATTGTCAACAGTTTTATATTTTATTTTTCATCTCTCTTCAATTTCAATCTTAAAAATGTTATAATTTATTCGTTTTAATTCCGATTGAGATGAATGTGTTCATAATAAAGAGAGTAATAAATCCCCACCCATATTGCATATTTTTTAATGTCATTTACAATGAGGTTTTATAAAATTTGTTATAAAAATCTAATGACAGTTTTTAACACTTTAAGCAAACACAATTCGGATTTTATTCTCATTTCAAATTACAATTTATTTGAATATATAAACACCGGTTCAAATCACAATTAAAATCACCACAGTTTAAATTTTACAGTTCTAACTAAAAATGTTCAAATCTTTACAATTTAAGTTGTTGAACCAAACAAATCCTATAGCTTTCCAAATTAATTAATCTAATAACTTTGCACAATCAATTAATTAATATTATCACTTCTACCAAAAAGAAAAATTAATACTCAAAAGAAAAATATATATTGTTTTTGGTCTATTCTCTCCAAAAGTGATAGAGGTGTAGCGTTTTTAAACACACACACACACACACACACACATATATATATATATATATAATAGGGTTGGTAATTCTGTTAATCTGTTTATTAATCGTATCATAAAATATTAATCTAAATACGATATATTTATTAAACGTGTTAAAAATATCAACCCAAACACGACCTATTAATTAATAGTGTTAATTGTATCAACTCGTATAACCCGATTAAATTAATATATTGAATAAATAACTAATATAATAATCTTATTTAACACGATCATAATATGTTTATTGATCAAGTTATATTTTTCTTTAAGAAAAATAAATGAATTTGACCTAAAAATATTAAAATTCATATTATTTATATTTAATATGTCATATAAGCTTTTATGTTATATCACATCATATTAGATTACAGATAACACATATAGTTAATCGTGTCAATTCATGTTAGGAGGTCAACTCTAACTCAATCCATTAATTAACTGTTTTACTCTTGTCAACCCGATTATAACCCAACCTTATTTATAATAAACTTAAACTTACTGTAAATTTCGAGTCGTGTTTCTTGTTATGATTGAAATTGTCATTCCTAATATATACATTACGGTAACATAACTTTTTGGGGTTGGTATGGGGATCACGGAAGTAGCTAAAAGGTCTATTTTGTGCCTCCGATTTGTGATAATTTGAATTGTTTTTTAATATTGATAAGAAAATTTTGTTTTTCGTCTTATGTTCCACCATTAGCTACAATCATTGATGATCATTTTTCCGTGGCAAGATTGTTTGTCTCCGTGATAATATTAAAGTGTCGTTCATATCAAAAAGCACCTTTTCTTCCTCCTTTTCTACACTTTTTTTTTTTTTCCCCGTATTTATTGAAGTACAAAAAGAATCTTGTGGGATTTGCCATTTCTTCATATTGGGTGAAAAATACGTTTAATATTTCTTACCATGTTTTGCCAAATAAAATTCATATCAATTGGTAGATGCGTAGTTATATGATTTGAAGTACTACGTACTAACAACCTGTTTTTACTCAAGCATTGAACTTTTAAAGCAAATTCTTTGGTTTCGCATTTTGTATATTCTGTTAATGAAATTTGTGATGAAAGGGGTAAAAAAGAAGAAAGAATAGGAGCCTCTTGTCCTCCCGTGTGTTTATTAGGGAGGTTGTCTCTTCTTTATTTTTTCCGGTACTCGGTTGACTTTTCAATTCTTTCAAACTGGCTTGAAATCATTATGAGATATCTTTTAACTCAAAAAATCTGTTTTCATATCACACACACACACACGGGAGACGGGATCCAATTTCAACCGCAAAATTCTGGAATTAACACTTCACTTTGGATTCCTCTCACAGCTGGACCCGACCATCTAACTGCACTAATTTTTTTCCCCTAAGTCAACCTTTAGGATATGTTTGGTAAGAGGGAGGGATAGAGGGAGTGATGGAGGGAGGGAGGGAGAGAGAGGAATGGAGAGAGAGTGGTCGAGGGAGAGGGTGAATCCCTTATTTAATAGGAAGGGGAAGGGGAAGAGGAATGAGATGAGATATAAAGAGAGAGAGTCTCTCTTCGGACCCATTATTTTAGATCCTTCTATCAATAGAATGATTCAACTAATATACTTAAATTTAAATAAAATTACTTTTCTATCTTTCAAACTAAATTATTAAAAAATAATAAAATTGACAATATAGTAATTAAATAAATAATTATCATTCATTCTTTCACCTCTTTTTCCATCAAACCAAATAACATGAAGGATTACTATAATCCCCTTCATTCTTACTACTCACCATCATTCCAACTTTCTCCGTCATTCTTACTCTCCATCCATCCAATCAAACAGAGCCTTAGGGCTCATTTTTTAGGAGGTTCACTCTAATTTAAAAATTTACCGCGAAAAAAAAGATTCATATTCAGAGTGAATAGTAAAAGTCTAATTAATCCTCCCAAAATAAGCATTCAAAATATTTTTTTAGTTTCTACTCGTTCATTTTACTGATTCAAATTTTGTTACAGTAAAAAACTCTTAGAAATAGTCACATTTAACCTTTTTTGCTACAGTAAAAAACTATCACATAAAGTCACATTTCAACCCGAATTAAAAACTCAAATCAGCGAATTAAACGGACTTTAAATTTTCTTCTTTATTTTTGAGAGTTTTATACGATATTATATCTTTATTGGTAGGACTTTTTTCCGTAGGCTTCTCTCTGTTAGTTTCAGTTTCTCTCAGTTAAATATGTTCAAAATTACATCATATTAAAAAAATATGTAGAACAAATAGTTTTCATTATAAATCTAACGGTTGAAAATAAAGAACTACCGGTAGTTTATTTTTTTTAGTCCAACTAAAGGTAGATGTAGAAAGATTCATATAATTTGTCTAATTTATGATGTTTCAAATAGTGACTAACCAATTATATTTTATCATGTTTTTTATTGAACTGAAATATTAAAATATAAAAATATTCAATTAAAAAAATATTTTAAACGTCAAAATTGAAAGGTGATTTGAGTTTAATTACCGGAAAACATCAAAAAGTGACTGTGTTAGTAAAATGGCCAATCAAGAAACCATGCTAGTATTATCAACTAAGGATTGCCAAATGACAAACAACCAAGCCCGGAAGAATCCTACCTTATTTAGAAGGGCAGAAAATGGAAAAACCAAATAAATATCCACAGAAAAAGAAGAAAACTAATAAAAGATAAGAAAGAACATGAAATTGAAATTGTTTGTTTGTGTCTTTAATTTTTTTTCCTTTTTTATTTTTTATTTTTTTGTTTTTGAATGTTTGAGTCTTTAATTGAAACTAGTCAGGACAGCCACAATAATAGTGGTCCAACAAAGATAGTGCAGTCACTTTTACGCTGTTGTGGGAAACTCTTTTTGGTTTTCACATCAATAAAACCTTAGCAACTCTTCTGAAAATAGGGAATAGGCCAAATAGCTAATAAAAAGTAATGCTCTTCTTCTTCATTTATTTTCTCTAAACTCGAATCTAATCCTTTTTTCAGACCTTTGGCCTACGTGGAGATGATCTGGCCATTATTTCTCTCTTTACAAAAGCAAGCTTTCTGTAATAATGAGCTCTGTTAGGGGCATTACCGCCATATTGATATAACATACCAAATCTGGGGGACTTAGATTTCTGGGCTCTGTTTGCTTCCCATTAGTTGAAGTCTCAGAATTGGGGAAAAAAAAATAAAAAATAGTTCTTTTTTCTTTCTCACCAAAAAAAAAAAAAAAAAAAACGCACGGAGAGAGATTAGCTTCTCTCTCTTCACTCACTGGCATCAAGAACAAGAAGACCACTGCCACTTCCACCACCACCCCTCCATCTGAAACTGTAGAGAGAGAGAGATAGAGAGAGAGAAAAACAGTTCTAGAGCGAGAAATTCCAGAGATTGTTTGTAGAGATGGAAAGTTGGGAGAGAGAGAGCTCCTGGTTTTAATTCGTCCTCTGCTCTAGTATATGTTACTTTTGCTTATTCAGTTATAGCTTTAGGTTTTTTATTATGCAATCATCTTTCTGAGTTAGAATAATTCAGATTCAGAAATAGAAAAAGGGTGATTATTAGATTTGACAGTTGCTGAGAAAATTCCCATCAAATTTTGTGCCCTTTTTGCTCTCTGTTACTCTCTGTTTCCCTCTGTTTCAATTTCTCAGCCAAGAATTAGCCAGAAAAACTTTTTCTGCAGCTTTTGATTTGATCTGTAAAAACATTTTCTGTAGCTTTTGATTTGATCTGATCAGAAGAAAAGTGACCCAGAAAGTTATAAGCTTTTTTTTCTTCAAGTTGAAGTATTTGAAAAGAAAAGAAAATTGAAGAAAAGATAGAGAAGAGGAAGGAGAAAGCTATGGAGTCGTCAGATCTCCAGCACCATCACCATCATCATCATCAACAAATGAACTCCGGGCTGATGCGTTACCGATCGGCGCCGAGCTCGTACTTCACAGATATGTTGGACAGAGAATTCTGCCAACAGTTCTTCAACAGACCTTCCAGCCCAGAAACCGAGCGAATCTTCGCTCGCTTCATGAACAGCGACGGCGGTGGCAGCAGCAACAACAACAACACCGCAGAAGTTGAGGATTTGCAAAAGGTTAACGACAACGCCGAAGCAGAAGCTGCGGTTCTTCGGAATCAGCAGCAGCAGCAGCAGCAACAACAGCAACAACAGAGTAATAATATCATCAGCGGCAATTATTCGTCTTCTTCTAGCTTTTACCAGAGCTCGTCAAAGCCACCTTTGCCGAACCAGGGAATCAGTTCTGGTAACACCAATGAAGGGTCTTATTCAATGGGCATGAATCAGTTTCCGCCGATGAGAACCGGCGGTATCAGTAATTCCAATCTCATCAGACATAGTAGCTCTCCTGCTGGACTTTTCGCCAATATCAATATTGACACTTCCGGTACGCAAACTTAAATTTCACTGTGAAAATTTCAATTCTTGTTTTTTTATTAATTATTTATTATTATTATTATTATTTTTGGTTTAATGGGTTGTTGGTGAATTGGTAGGTTTTGGTGCAATGAGAGGCATGGGGACATATGGAGCGAGTGACAGCACTGATGAAGAAGCGTCTTTTTCTACTCCGAGTAGATTGAACAAGTTTTCATCAGGGCCGGCTTCTTCGACGGGTCTAATGAGTCCAATAGCTGAAATTGACGACAAAACCATGGTGGGAAACAGTCAAGACACCGGGGCTTTTGGAGATAGTCGGAGCAATAGTTTTGTGTCAAGTTTCCCAATGGGTTCGTGGGATGACTCTCCAATTATGTCGGAAAATATCACTGGGTTGAAGAGGCTAAGAGATGATCATGATGTGAAACAATATTCATCAGAAACTCAGGTACATCATAAAAAAAGCAGATTTTTAGGTTTGGTTGTGGTTCTGTTTTTTTTTAAGTCCAGTCAATCTGATTTGAAATTTTTTTGTTTGTGAAATCAGAATGTGGAGAGTGGAACTCGGCCTTTGGCTCATCACTTGAGTTTGCCGAAAACATCATCGGAAATGGCTGCCATTGAGAAGTTCTTGCAGTTTCAGGATTCTGTTCCTTGTAAGATTCGAGCCAAGCGGGGTTGTGCCACTCACCCACGAAGTATTGCCGAAAGGGTAATTATGATAATAATATATACACACACATAAATTTTTATGTTGTTTAGACTTCAAATTTTGGATCATTTATTGTGTTGGGTGTCGAATAAATTTGCAGATTTTGGCAGAGGGTAATTATGATAATAATATATACACACACATAAATTTTTATGTTGTTTAGACTTCAAGTTTGGATCATTTATTGTGTTGGGTGTCGAATAAATTTGCAGATTTTGGCACTAAAAGAGTAAAAACCATGTTGATTTTTGTTTTCTTTTTTTTTTAGGTAAGAAGAACCCGAATCAGTGAACGGATGAGGAAGCTGCAAGAGCTTGTGCCCAACATGGAAAAGGTATAGATGTTTGTTCACAAGCCTTTCCTCCTTCCTTATAATGAACAATTTCTGTGTGGGGCATTTCACTAAAAAATCATTATGTTTCATTCTGTGCAGCAAACAAACACAGCCGACATGTTAGATTTGGCCGTTGAGTACATTAAAGACCTTAAAAAACAAGTACAGGTATATTATTAACGTAAATATTCAAAAAAAAAACATATTTACTTTACTTGTGAACCCTCTTGTTATCATTCATAAGAAAACTTTAACCGAACTTGATGATTTATAAAAATAATATGGTTCAAATCAAAGTTGACTACTAACGAATTTTCCTAATCTTTAGTATCTGATCCTCTGAAAGGTTTTTTTTTTTTCATCATTCTTTTAATTCATTCGTATCTAAATGGTTAATTTTCAGACGCTTTCTGATAGTCGTGCCAAGTGTACGTGTTCAAGCAAGCAGCAGCAGCAGCAGCAATAACACAGAAAGCTTGGGGAGCGACTTTGTTTATGTACAGAATCATATCAGAATTTGAGGGGAAAGTCTAGTAAAAAGCTGAGATGATGCATTGTCTTTTAGCTTTTGCACTGTCAAAGAAGAATACGTTAGCGAGCTATTAATTATAATTATATTATTATTATTATAATCATAATAATAATATAGATAGTGAGAAAAGGCTGGTTAAAAAAAAAAACTCCTGTAGGATCCGGATCCATTGATGACATATTAACATATGATAGAAAATCAAATCTGTATAGTATATATTTTTCTTCCGCGTGTAACCTGTAAGATTTACCATCACATGTGCTTTCACTTCTGTATCCCAACCACTAGAATTACATCTGTTTACTTTTCATTTACTTTTTTCCACGCTTTCCTTGTTGCATGGGAAGCATGTGAGAATAAATTTTTTTCTCTCTTAAAATAGTGGGGAAAAATTGACGGAGCACAACTGTTCATTGGAATTATTATTATTATTATTATTATTTTTTTGTCTCTCAACTCATGCATTTCTGGCCCCTTAAATTATTGGGAGAAATTTTACTATGCAAAGGGAGAATTTCCGTCACCTATGGATCTTGAACATTAAAATTGGAAAATGAAATAATAAACTTGCGAATTGGCATCAATAACGTGAATTAGACACTTAGTGCTATTAAAAGACTCATTGACCATATGAGTCCAACAGAATGGGAAAGATTTAGGCCTCCTTCGTTTCGTTGATTCGAGTTTAGATGTGAGTTTATGTGAGAGTTTTTTACTGTAACAAAAAAGTTAGATGTGACTGTTTGTGAGAGCTTTTTACTATAGCAAAACTCGAATTCTAAACTCGAATCAGCGAAACGAACGAGGCCTTAGAGGCTGTTCGGCAGCCATAAAAACTCAAAAAAAAGTAACTTGAGTTACAATTTTATTTAAATTTATGTTCTTTTAAGTTTAAACTCGAATTTAAACTCGAGTTTGAGACTAAAACTCGAGTTCAAGTTTTTCCTTCAACTCGAGTTCAGAAACTCAAACTCAAATTAATAAACAATATTTTTTCTATTATTAAAAATGCTATAGCTTTTTCATTTTAATTCTGATTGAGATAATTTTTTTTCTATGCGTTGACAATGAAAAGACGAATAAAACCCCACCCATATATCATATTAAAATTTTTCATCACCATTGAGTTTTTATTAAAATACTATCTAAATACAAATTTAAGTTTTGACTCACTCAAATACAAACTCAAAAAGATTCTTATCTCAAATCATAACTTAAATGTACACAACCAAACACAAACTCAAGTTATAACTCAAACTCAACTCAAGATTTTCACAAAAAAATGTAAAAGAACAACCCCTTATTTTACAACAATAACCACCTAGAATAAATCTTCAATGGGAGTAACCTATCGTTCCTAATGGGTAAAAATTATTTTGGTAGCCCATTGTTCATTTTGGTTAGATGCCAAACAAGGCAATGGATTCCCTAGTGGGGCAAGCAATGCTTTTCATAAAAACTGTACATAAAACCTTGTATTCTTGTATTCTTGGGGAGAGAGAAGGGGTTAGAGAGAGTGTGAGAACGTCCTTTGAGAGCAGAGGTTAGCGGAGCTTTGGAACTGTCTCCGGGCTCCCGACCGTGATATTTGGTCCTCCAGCTCGTCTCGTCGTGGGCTTCTCGTTGGTGGTAATGGTGTACGGTGTGGTGGATCCGTTTAGGCAGATCTGAACCGATTAGGAGTTTGGAAGCTGAATGAATGATCTCCTTTCTTAAGAGAGTTTTCCGTTTTGTGGCTGAGATATCTTCGTTGGCTATCTTCCTCGATGGTCATTTGGCCAGACACCTTCACTGGAGGTTTCTACCAGCGGTGGTCGGAGGTTTTTTTTATTTTTGTCACTTTTGTGTTTGTAATAAGGTTGGTAGTTTCCCCACCCGACCCTCGTCTAGTTTGTTATTTTTTGTTAGATTTAGCTGTTCGGTTTAATACCGATAGGGTGTTCTTGGTCATGTTAGAATTTTTTTTATGCCACGTAGATGTCTCATTTATGTAGATTTTGACGATCTGCCCCTCCAACGCTCGACATCTTATGTTGAAGAAATGAGTTTTTTCTAGTTGAACTTTCAATCCGCTAATTGTTAGTGTGCTAAGGTACTTTTCTGATTTCGAGTATCAGACTTGCTTCTATCTTTTTAATGTATTAATATTGTACCAAAACAATAATTTATTAGTATTTTAATAAAATGTAATTTTCCTTTAAAAAACTGTACATAAACGACAAGCTAGCAAAAAAAAATGTTATTTATCATATGTGTGAAATAATAATAATTATATTTTAATCATAGGAGTGCCCTCTAGGAAATAAGTGAGTGTTTACTTTTCGGCTTGATATAAGGATTAAAAAGGGGTGGATGGGGTGGGCAAAGCTCTGATAAAATCTCAAAGCAGGGGGTCACTGTCCCTGTGTAAGGCCAAAATCCAGGGAAGTGAGTGCCACGTCACGGATGACGTCATCAACCTATCAAAATGCCATGTCATTTATTAGTGGTTCTTTTGGAAGGGCAATATTTGGGGTCTATATTTTATATTCATTTAGTTCACTGATTTTAATTTTTAATTCGAGTTGAGATGTGATTTTATATGAGAGTTTTTCATTATAGTAAAAAAGTTAAATGTGACTATTTTTTAAAATTTTTGATCGTAATAAAACTCAAATTCTAAAATCAAATCGATAAAATAAATGAGAATGATCAGGCCAAAAAAAAAAAAAAAAACTGTAGAGAGACAACTGTATTTGTGTACTCAGTAGTGGGTATCAGTACAATCATCTTTTTTTTTTCTTTATTGTAGTGGGGACCTTCCTAATTAGTAGCTAATAGTATGGCCCTTCTTGAAGCTTCCTTTGTCTTCTCTTATAATTAATAAAGGTGACATTTTGCCCATAGGCTCTGTTTGGTTTGAGAGATAGAGACCTTCAAATGATAAAACTAGTTAAAATAATAAGAAATGTAGGTCCCGTTCACTTCGTTGATTCGAGTTTAAAATTCGAGTTGAGATGTGACTTTATGTGAGAGTTTTTTACTGTAGTAAAAAAATTAGATGTGATTGTTTGTAAGAGCTTTTTACTGTAGAAAAACTCCAATTATAAACTCGAATCAGAGAAGGATTATTATAATTTTTTATATAGTAGTAAGGGAAAAAAAGAGTTGAAATGATAAGTGAAAGTATGGTTATTAATATTACTATATTACCTTTCTTATTATTATTTACCATTTTTTTTAAAAGATAAAAAAGTGTTTTTAAGCGTAATGTAAATGGATTCTATGAATCCTCCTATAAGTGGAAAATATGTAATTTTGTAGGAGAATGAGTTCTCTCTCCATCTCCTATTTCCTTCTCATCTTTTCTCAAACTAAATAAGTGATAGGCCCTCTAACCAAACAGGATCTTTTTAAAAAAAAAAAATCACGTATTTTAAGAAAATCTCGCTTCAATTTTCACTTAAATCCGTGATTGTTGATTAGCATTCGATAAAGGAGATATGTAAATCATATCACAAGTCAAAAGACAATATTATTTTACAGTAAGTGGATGGCCAAAATTTGGACCTTTTAAAGAAATTATCTGTGGATTTATTCTTTTTTAAGTAAAACGTTAATTTACAGGTAATTCATCAATTTATTTTCATAAAGCCCCAAACAAATTTAGGAAATGATCATTACCCCGGTAAATCATTGCTTTATATGTTTGGTAGAGGGATTCGTTCCATGATTTGAATCATGATTCATGGTTCGTTATAATATTTTCTCTCACAAAAAATTCACGTAAATAAAAAATGATTAAATCACATAATTTGAATCCTCCAACCAATCATGATTTTAGTATTTAAAAGGTAAAATTAATTATTTGAAAAAGTAGACTTATTACGAGGATCACGTGTCAATTCACAAGCTAAAGAAGATTTTTGGTTACCAACCAAATGCAGTTTTTTCCTCTTTCACATGTCTTTGTTTTTGTTTCACATGTTAACTCCCAACTCCCTAATTCCTATGTTTATCCTTCCTTTGTCCTTTTCGCTTGGAAATTGCCGGTTCTCTCTCTAAACAATTGAACTCGGGCACGCTTTATTCACCTTATTGCCTATTGGGCATGAGTTTGAGAGAAAATGATAATGGACTTCTTTCCTGTTTGGGCTGCTGACTCCATTCCAAGGCCAGATGAGTTTCTTTTGGATATCTTCACATTCCATATCCATGAACTGATGGACGTATCTTTTGTTTGGGCCCTACTCCGATTCTCATATTTTAGAGGTTTTTTTTTTTTTTAGGTCTTTTATGTTATTATTATTGTTATTAGTAATGTATTGTAAATGTATTTTAGGAAGATAATTTTCTTTTGTGATATGTTGAAAACAGGAATTTGACAATTCAATAAAAGAAAAGGATGCTGCAGAACTTGGATTTGGATTTGGTCTTTTTTTGGTCGTCTAGATTTTCAATTGATGTTGGCATTAAGTAGTGAAATCTAAACTATATTCACTACTCAATCCAACTATTTTTCCCCATTGGCATAGGCAAATCTCCTCAATCCTTGACAAAAATAGAGAATATCATAGTCCATCAGTCATCTAAAAAAGATTTTTTTTTCCTATGAAGTTCTTTGAGGAAACATAACGCAACTTTTTTATTTTTATTTTTTATAAATTTATACAAACTTCCTTTCATGAGGAAAAGAAAATACCCAACAATTTTGTTTTTTTTTTTAGAAAAAAAAAAAACTGCCTAAATGTGGGATATAAATTGAATTCCAAGAAGGAAAAACGACAATAGGAAGAGTTTTTAACGTATTTATGCGTGTAAAGTTTCCAATCCTAACGTTCCCGTTTGCTCTTCCCTCCTCCGTCCCCACTTCCCAAAATTTGAATTCCAAGACTCAACAGTCAACAATTCTCTCTCTCTCTCTCTCTGCAATCACGTTCCTCTCTCTCTCTCCATGCCATGGACGACGAAGCCGACCGCGAGCTCGGCTTCAGCGCGGCTCCACCACATCTCGTCTCTCTCACCCCGTTCTCTCCTGTCCCTTCGCCCTCCACTAGGCGGCTCTCCAGCTGCTTCGTCGAGCCGAGCCGCCCCGTCGCCGCAGCTCGACGGCTCGCCTGGGTGTCCCTCCAGGGTCGCCTCATCAACGCCGATGAAGCCAGCTCGGCTACAACCATCAAGGGCGGCTTGGCCCCCAAGGAAGCTGTGTCTTGGGAGCTATTCAGCCCCGTTCAGCGATTCCTCATCGTCGCCGTGATCGGCGTTGCCGTCGCCGAGTCTAAGAAGAACGCCCAGATTTCTCGGCTCAGAAAATCCGTCGAACTTAGGGTTCGTACTAATTAATAAGAGTTCCTCGTCTTTAATTTCTGCGTCTTTTCTTTATTTTCTTATTTCAAGTGGCGATTTATTGCTAATTTTAATGTTTCTACTTCGAAGGCTTGGATTGCGCAAGAAACTGATAATTCATAATTCGGACTTGTTTTGATTTTACACCACACCTTGATTGAGACTTTACAGTTTCTTAAAGCTACAATACGTTACAGTTTCTCCTTGATTTTATGAGTCATTTTGAAAATTCAAATAAATAGGGGTTTTCCTATCTTTTTGTGCTTTTCAAATTCTCTCTCTGCTGTTAATGACTCTGTAATTTGTATATTATATATGCGATTAGATACAAAAGAGATTGAAATGTTTATTTCTGATCTGTAAAAACATGGATTTATTACAATAATTTTATAGGACTCAAATTATCTTAGATCACATGTTTTTAAATCTTAGAGTAACTAATTTTTGCAGGATCAAGTACTATCAAGCATGCAGCAGAAGCTTGACAGTCTATGTGAGCAGCTGAACAATAAGAATATGGAATTATCAGAAATTGATGTTTTTGGCTCAGACAAAACTAAATTCGTCGATTGCGGTTGTTGCCTTTGTGATCAACATCACGACATGTTGGCGGTAAGATCTCAATTCTCATGTCCATTTGTTGCTACATTTTCTATATGACTGTCTAAGTGTGTGATTGTCTTTCTTTGTGAAATTAACAGGGCAAATCTGTAACGAAAGCCACAAATGGGGATGAAATTCTTCAGTATAAGACGTCTCTCGCCAATGTTGCAGAGCAAGAGGAGCGCCGGATGTCTGATTTATCGGACTGGGCTTCGAGTGTCACATCTGCTGCTGAAATCCAGGTGGGTGAGATATTGTATAATAATATAATAAACTGAAAAAATGTTGTTCATTCTGACTTGGCTTGACTTGGGATTAAAGGTGGTGTGGGTCCCAGCCGAGTCGGAATGTATAGGATTGCTCGATGATATGTATCAGACATCCATCGAACAAACTGAAATGAAGATTTAGAATGATGGTTGAGAACTTTTGAAATTTCAGAGTCTTGGAGTTGATCAATGACTCAATGGGCCATGCGTTTGTCAATGAGAATTAATGTGCACTTTGTCACTCCAAAGGAATCTTTTGAATAGTATTACCATGTTTCATGTGAATTTTTATCTTGCTTTTCAATGCAAAAAATTCTTGAATTGTTAAACTGTAAAAGATACTTTCCTTTTTCGGTAAAATGGGAATTAAGCCTTGATAATGAAACATGAAATCCCATATGGCCCCAGTTTTTATAGGTCCGGTCCCTAATCATTACGTTAGACTAGTCAAATTCCAACAACATTGATTTCCTTGGAGTTTGCTCGGACTGGTACTTTGGTTTCGAAGTTCTTTTTTGTATGGCCATATGCCTGTCCTTGTAGGCCATCTCTCTAGCACTCTCTTTTTGTTATTTTGAAACTGACAGATTTTTCAGCACAAAATTGTGCGCTAATCACACAACTGTGCATACATTATATTTTTCTGTTTCTTTTTCTTCAAAAAAAAAAAAAAAGAAAAAAAAGAAAAAATCTATTTTGTAATTTATGATGTGATGCATTACGCAGATGAATAGCTTGGCTATAGAACAAGACATTTACAATCTCAAGAAGGATTGTGAAGACAAAGATGTTATCATAAAAGAGCTTACCACTTTACTCCACTCGTCTGATATAGCTGGCTCAAAGGTATTTTGTTCTCTTTTCCCCTTGGCAACACAACATTCTATCCTTCTCTCTCTTTTTTCGATCTTTGATCAATTATGATTATAATTTCCTTCATAACAGAGGATAACCGAGCTGGAAGACATCATAAGAAGGAAGAACACGATAATTACTCGGCTAAAGAAGGACGTAGTGATCCTAGAACAAAAGGTAAGGATTTATTTATGGAGATAATTAACCAAAAAGATAGTTTTCAGCCTCTTGAGCCGTAGTTTACTCCATAATGCAGGTGGTGAATTTCGCGAGACTTCGGAGACCCTCTTTCTCTTCCTCGGAATTACCAAGTGTACAAATTCCACACATGACAGACAACGTCCTTTATGATATGGAGAGTACTACTAGCCCTTCATCTTCTGATTCGGACAGCTCTCCCAAGGACCGAGCAGAGTCTCCTGCTGTTGAAACTCCAGAGATTACTGCTCATAGTTTAGAATCTCATTCAATAAGGAAGCTGAAATCATTGCCACCAAAGCCCTCAGGATCTCGATCGATGAGTCCTCTGAAAGAGATATCATTGAACCACAAATTGGAGACAGTCTCTTCTACAAGACAAAGGCAGTTATCAGCTAGTGGAGATCAGAAAAGGACTAGAAGGCTTAATCTATCTGCACAGAAGGATTCAACTCCACACAAGAGATGGGTTTAGTGGCTGGTAAGCACCTTCCTGTTGTACCAGATTGCACTTCCACTGATGGTAATTTCGCTCATGAAGACTTGTTTCTTTTTAATTATCACCATGTGTGTTCTCACATGTTTTTGTTTTTCTTGTCTTTTGTAGGTCCAGGCTCAAATATACTGTAAGCTGAAGTTTGGTTACCGAAAACATAGTATATATGTTTTGTATATGGGTTCTGGACAGTTTACATGTCGTATCCTGTTAATCCTGTCGTATCCTCAGCTCATTAATCGTCTTGGTGAATTATTTTTATTTTTTAGGGTGAATTTTATAAGTGCTATATATATATATATATATATTTAGTGGAAAATAGTCCGTGTCCTATCAATTATATGTTGTTCTACAAGCTCTAAAAAACAACAGACCCTACGACTCAAACAGAGAAACGAAATCATGGAAACGACACAAAAATTAAAGATAGAGAGAGAGAGAGACGTCTAAAAAAATCTCTGAAGTCTCGCTCTAGTAATGGAGAGAAATTCTTTTTTTTTCTATAATTAACGCAAGTTGCAAGATGAAGCATCACCATGAAAATTGAAAACGACATAGACCTAAAAACCGACACAAACTATTATGGGTATGTTTGAGATGTGAGTTTACGTGAGAATTTTTTATTGTAGTAAAAAAGTTAGATGTAACTGTTTTTAAGAGTTTTTTTTACTATAGTAAGAATTCTAAACTCGAATTAAAATGAACGGCCTATAAAACACCAATGAAAAGCGACAATGGATAGAAATAACGACAAAGGCTAAGTTATGCAATGACAATGTATTAAAGCAAAACCAAAGCGAGAAGTTCTCGAAAATGACAGCAGTAAAAAAATGACACAAAACTCCACTAATAGCGTTGCAAGAAAACAATACTTATCCTCCCCTAAAAAAAAAAAAAAAAAAAACCTTATCCCCAACAATACTTATCAAATAATAATAATATTCCTAAATTATTCCCATTTGCTCGATTAGTGATTCCCCAAGTAGTATGTAATTTCACAATACAAACCAGGCTCATATGCAGATAAACACCTCTTTGAAACAATATTCTTATGCTTGTCACATAGTAATTGTTTACTTTCAAGATCATGTCTGATTGATCGGTGCATTTTTTTCAAAAAAATGTTTGTCCTGGATTTTAGACTAAAGATATTGATATGGATTGGGCGAGATGAGAACTTGATGGATGCCTTCATCAACTTCCCTCGTTGTCTTTTTTGGCTTAATGTTGGAAATGTCACCATCGGTACCATTGAATCTTGATTAATTTGGATTTTCAAACTTTGATATATATATATATATATAGGCAGCTTGTATTATACCACAAGAAATCTGTTTGAATCTGTATTTGGGTCGCCACTTCCTCAAATACTCGTCCCATTTTCCTTGTATATCACGTACAATATTTAATTTGGCGAGCAATCAAACAAAATATGCTTATAATGAGAGAGAGAAAAGACCATTGAGCAAATATTTTATGCTTCCATACAATTACTTAGATATCTTTCTTCCACTTCTCTTTTTCTCTGTTTTTTGTTTGTTTGATTAATCTCAACATTAATGTACAGTTCTTACCAATGGTAATTAAGAATTAATAAATTGTTGTTACATCAAATGTAGTTATCACATGATTTCTTATGACTATTGCCAATGTGTCATCTCTCTCCGTCTCTTGGAGAAATGTTGCTCAACCTCTTATCTGTATTGAATTAATGGAGGAAATAGTGATTCTTTTCATTATGGTTGCGTGGAAAGATTGATCTTTAGTTCTCTATTCATAGTGTTATTGGTATTACATGTTTGGATGGCAAATATCTGCATAATGGTTGGGTCGTTTGGTTCACTCTCTTTCAAAGTAATGCCTTGGAACAACTTATTGGCATTTTAGTCGGCTGTCGAAAACATCTAGTGCAGCAAATTAAATGTTTGTCATTTTCTGTTTATTTTTTTTAAATAGTTTATCTTTACTTAAAATTGCCCAATAAAATTTTGACCAAGTCAGTTTGAGCTCAATCTTATACCATGACCCAGGAAGCCAACCAAATAGGTCTAATAATAATGAGAATGAGAATGTGAATAGTAATAGAAATAAAACGGAAAAAAAAGTTAATTTATTTGTTTAGTTATAATTTTAAAAAAAATTTGGAATGGAATAAAATTATTATTATATAATAGATTATATAATTATGATATATAATATAACAATATTATTAAAATTGTAAATATAATTATAATATCATAATATATAAAATGTAATATAATATAATATAATATAATAATTATTATATAATATATCATATAATTATG